AGCAGGTAGACAGCCACAGATAGATCAACCGAACGCACGGAGCACGGGTGTCCCACTTCCAATGCGGCCTTCCAATTGGGGCTTCCAATTGCAGGCGCATGTCCGCAGCCAACCCTAAGTACCCTAGTACCCCGTAGCGCCTTCCGAAATTTTAGCACACAGATACACAGATTTCGAGTGTGTGGACCGAAATTCTTCATTGGAGCCGACTTTGTCAAAAGTTCAACACCTCGAACCCGCAATCGCCAAATCCCAAAGGTACGCTGCCAGTCCCCTGCTTGACGCATAAATACTCCGAACAGAACGCCCTGTTATTCGAGGCTTCTAATCCCACTCGTCCCGCCACTGCTACACCTTCGCTTGCGAAATCCCGGTTGTGTGAGGCGGTACTAAATCTCATCGTTCATTAGGTCGACTTCCTCCTACCACAACCACAGCCAAGATGCGCTACATCCACAGCGAGGAGACCCTGGAGATTCCAGAGGGAGGTACGTTCGCCGCCATCCAGCTTCTCACCTATTGCGACAAGAGGGGAAACACTTGGAAATGGAATGGAGATTTTTGGGCGGTGGTGGATTATGTCCCGGTCTACCAAGCGGAAAGGAATGCATTACTACGATACCGAAGCAATACTGACAGATGGTCTGCGGAACAGTCAAGGTCCACATCAAGTCGAGAAATGTCACCGTCGAGGGCCCCCGAGGTACGAATATCCTGATCGAATTCATGTTTGCGAATGGGGATGGGGGATTCTGACCGAAGGAAAATTACAGGCAAGCTCTCCAAGGACCTGAGCCACTTGGCTGTCAACTTCTCCAAGCCCAAGACCAATGTTATTGGCATTGAGATCCACCACGGCTCGCGCAAGAACGTCGCCACCCTCCGAACTGTCCGAACCCACATCAACAACCTGATCATCGGTGTCACGAAGGGCTTCAAGTACAAGATGCGATACGTCTACGCCCATTTCCCCATCAACGTCAACCTGGAGAAGAACAACGAGACCGGTAACTGGGAGGTCGAGATCCGGTATGTCTTTGGGTGGACTTCGAGAACATGAACGTCGCATCAGTGTGGACGAGGTGGCATGTGATTGACATGGGGTTACGGTGCTGACTGTTGGATTGCAGAAACTTTATCGGCGAGAAGCTCGTCCGGAGGGTTGTCATGCAGCCCGGTGTTGATGTCGAGGTCTCCAAGGCGCAGAAGGATGAGTTGATCCTACAAGGCAACTCTCTGGAGCACGTCTCGCAGAGTGCAGCAGATATCCAGCAGATCTGCAAGGTCCGAAACAAGGATATCCGAAAGGTAAGGCGGCCAGCTAGCGCATCCATGTTTTGGTTTGTTTTCTTTGGCTAATTTTCACCAACAGTTCTTGGACGGCATGTACGTGTCGGAGAAGGGCAACGTCGCGGACGAGTAAACGGGCATTATGGCAGTCTTTTTCTTTCTGGGTCTCAAAAGGAGTCGCCGGGGTTCATGTGCATCATCTGGCGTAGCAAAATAGCTACAAATCGGAAACCAAATACCAATTGAGCCATGTGTGTTCATATGCTATGCGTGCCTTAGGTTGGGTGACTCTGGACCCAGCTGAGCCTACTCGCTACGGATAGGATGATCTGCAGGATGCGCAGTACTGATGGTAGCCGGTGGCCTTATGGACGGACGGGGTCACTTACCGTATGGGAACCTCCGATACTCTCGAATACGAGTTGACGATAATGCACATATATGCAAGCTACCCATGGGTTTCTAAATGTGTCCACTGCAACACGCGTGCTAGGCGTCCCGGGTGACTTGAACAGTGACCAAGAAGCGTAACATGTGCCGCTAGTTACCATACTATAGAGAAGCCCGAAGCTGCTGACGACATCTGAAGGCATGGAGTTCATCCTTATCCCCCTTATAATTCTTATAATTAGCAGATATTATTCTAACAACCTAGCCTCCCCCATTATTTACGCCACTTCTCGGTGATCAATCCCGCCTGCATACATACTGCACCCAAATTCGACCCTACCAGACCCAGCCATAGGTTCCACCGGATCAAATTTTTACATACGTCAAGTCGCATATGGAAACTGAGATGCCAAGTATGAATTTCCATCGTGCTAAGTAGCTGATGTAGAAGCTTGGGTGGTAGTGATACCATTTCCAACTTCAAAACAGACTTAGATAATAGGTACAGTGGCCCCCATGTCAACAGAAAGGGGTAGACTGTGAGTGTGTACGCCCTAGCCCGTCATTACGTGGCAAACCCATCTACTCTATTCTAGTCCATGTGCATTGCGTTACCTCGAATCCTGTATAATACTACGAACGGCATTGCCACCTCGAAGGTTCATATTGTCAGTCTTCGTGCCTATCTAGGGGCCGAAAAGGTCAACGGAGACTTCACAACCCGTCCAACCCACCTAGCTATCAATATATCCTAGGCACCAATATACAACAGCCTGTGGTAGGACCGCCGACTTGTCGTAGGACCTCTCGCTTCATACATGGGGGCACAATAAACTTGAAACCCAGTGGGAAGAAGTACAACATAAGATCTTACGCATATAGTCAAATGGTATGTCTTTGTAGTTGCCACCAGCACAAGTGCTCTGGCTTTATTATATGTAGTTATTACCCTGATACTGATGGTTGAGACTACATCAGAGGTCTTATAACAATAGTGCCATAAAGCAGGTCTATATATAGCCAGGTGAGCCATGTAAGAAAGCACCAAGATGACGTAGTCAATGCAATACCTAATAAGCCACATGCACTCTCATATGCATGATTGGTTACGTTCCTATAGCTCTAAGGGCGGCGCCTCAAGTCGTACAACAGCACCCCCCTTGGGGGTTATGATGCCCCTGAAGCTGTTTGAAGTTACGTAATCAATCCTACAGTATCTCACCTCCATCGACTCCTATATACTAGAGATTGATGTGTACTATCAACTTGGGGTACACGTGTAGCTGAAACCATGATCTTTACCCCGCCAGTAAAGCTTACGTGTGGTACGTCTAAGAGAAGCCAGGCTGCTACTAGAAAGCAAGCTATACTTCAGTTCAAGTGGATGACGATAACCAGGCCAATGTAGCCAGGTGTCTATTTCAGGGCCAGAAGTCCCGGCGGAGGCTCGAACCTCTCATACGGAAGGAACACTTAGGAATGGCGTGTGCTCTGGCCTCACCATACCATTTTACAAAGGGCGGAAGCAGTAGGTAAACATATTCTCTCGTAAGTACGACTTAGAGCAGGCTCGTGTAATCCAGGCGTCAGACTCGATCTGTTGTGTGGTTGCCACCTCAGGTAACCATAATATCAATCCCACTTGTTCCCAGATAACTGCAGACAATCTATCGTACACATGCCGCTACTTCGTCCTGAAAACGCCCCTTGGTTACAGAGGTTGAAACAAGTGGCTGATGGCATAGTAGTCCCCGTCAGTGTGCGAAGGGACTGAGACCGGGCAGTCGGCCATATCGAGAGAATGCAGAGGGGGGGTCCGGATCCATGTAGCATCAAGAGCAGTCCCTCCTAGATCTGTACCTACTCAGAAGTAGGTCTTAAGATCTTGTATATAAGATGCCTTCGTTCCCTAATCATAGCTTCTTCTGCTCCTCTATTCATCATCAGTCTCGATAATCCCACAACGTCTCCTGACTCAAGAAACATAAAAAAAAAACACAACAAACAGATACACGTAGCAAACCGACCAACCAACAACCATGCAGTTCACCATCACCGCCCTCACCGCCGCCGCCGCCATGACCATGACCATGGCCGGTCTCTCCGCCGCGGCCCCGGCCACCCTCGAGGAGCGCTTTGCCTCGGGCGCGTGCGGCATCCACGTGAACCAGTGGCAGAAGAACGAGAACGGCGTCGGCGGCCAGTACCAGTTCGAAGTGGTCATCCGGGACGCCCTCAGCAACATCGTCGGCGGCACCTCCAAGGGCGACCGCCTGTCCATCGCGGACCTCTCCAGCGCCTCCCTCCCGAGCGCTCTGCCCTACCAGCTCGTCATCAGCGTGGGCGCTGTCGACTCGGACCCCGTCCAGTTCAGCTATGCGGGGCAGACATGGTGAGTTGCGAAGAAAAGAGAATAAAAGGGGGGAGAATAAAATAAAGTAGAAAAGAGACGTTGATCGTCAGGTCATGAAAACGAGAGATTGTAGCTAACCGATTTAACCAACACTCCAGGTCCTCGTCTAGAGGGTGCAGCACGGGCGCCTATGACTCTGGAAAGCGGCAGATGGACTGCGGTTTCACTTGCTAGGCAGTCCCGACTGGTGTTGCCGCTTGAGATGAACAACACGATCTGTCTCTCATGACTCAGTATCTGGGGAGATTGATGCTTGTCTACAGCTGGTCAGCGGCATACGAGGTACCCATCTGGTTCGATACGAGGTTCGGGAGGATGGTATTGCGCTTCCCCCCCCCTTTTTTCTTTGGGGGGGGGGTTCTTTTGATGTATGATTCTTTACTTCTTTTCTCAAAATGAACTTCACGTTGTTCCTGCGGAAGAAGAATTTCAAATTGCGCTTCTTCGGATTTCCCAGTGGCTGTCATACCTATGTTTTGACTGAACCCCATATCCAGAGAAGATCTCCTGGTTGCCAGGCGAGGTAGCTAGCAACCTTGAGATAGGTCTATGCTCAACGACCTTCAGGTACATGTAGGTTGTGGGATGAAAAAAAAAGCTACTAACATTGGAAACTGGTTGTAAGATACCAAGATAAGATAATAATTGCACGAGGCTTTGATAATAGGAAGGAGCAAACGGTTAACCAACGAAACACGCAAACGCCTTGGACCAATAGCACGTTGTTTGTAGGTACCTAGGTACCAACATTATGCTGCTGGCCATTATGTATTAAGTAGCTTGAATAATCAGAAGCCTGAGATCGAATGGCAAAAGTGAATGCACGTATCCGTCCCTACCTCTAGGGCAACATGCCATGTGCCATAAATATTGAAAGTAGATGTCTAGTTCCCATCAAAGCATCTTATTCCATGTCGTCTAGTGGTTCAGGATCCCACGTTTTCATTCTTCTATATTGAAAAGCCGTGGTGGCCAGGGTTCGAACCCCTGCATGGAAGATTCTTTTTTTTTTCCCCCTTTTTTTCGCTTTTTTTTTTTTTTTTGTTCTTGTTCTCCCTATGTATTCCTGGACCTCCCTTTTGGATGTGAGTTATGTGCTCTTAGGTTCGTCCCAGCCAAAAGGTTTCACGCAGTAATCTAGCAGGGCCAGCCTCAATCCGGAGATTCGGTCCAGCTGCGGTTCAAGGACCCCGGCTAGGGGGCTCCGGTTGTAGCTGCACTGGCTGCCGCAACAGTGGCTATATATTCAGCCGTAATAAAGACGGGGTTGAGCCGCTGGGAATGAACGGAGTCCACGTTACCAGACCAGATATGATACCACTCGTCGATGCAAGCTTGCCGTGAAAACGGCGCCGACGGTATTCCCGAGTCCCGTCAGTGGAGCCGAGATTATACTCTTCGGAGAGTACACGAGGAGTACTGGTCCTGGTTCGAAGCCTAGGAAGCACTGCGCAGAGGGGGCAACTTCAGTCGCCGCATAGCGGCTGCGATGGCTAGACTGCCTGTGGCCCGACGCCTCGAATTCCACGATACCCGTTACTGCGCGGGGGAGTGGTTTCGAATAGAAAAGATTGAAGATAACGATCACGTATCCCAGGTGCTACTACAGCCGACGCGATGGATGCGGTATCTCCTCACATCCCAGCCTTGAAGCAATATTTCGAATCGCGATGGTATATTAATTGTACTGTACCTTGTGCTCGAAGACCAATACAGATGTATCACCCATATTTGAAGTCTGATAACTACTAGAAAGCAGCCTGTCACTATGCCCACACATACTATCCATGTCTTCTTCGTTATGCTTGGTACACAACAAGAATAATATCGTCCTCAGGCTTGTCCCGATACCGTATTCAGTTAAGAGATAATATATTGAGCTCATAATAGTCTATGGCTGACTATCTTTGCCTTTGCACCAGCGTAGAGTTAACCAACCCACTTCTCTATTAGCCCAACCGTCCATTCCTTGAAATAGCGATCACTCTCAGGGATGAGACTGTTACTTTTGGCTAGGATGTCAACAACTCCGTTGATGGCATCAGCTGGCAACGCGATATCTTGAGCATCCGATGTCATGGACTCCAACGCTTTGTCGGCTTCCTCCTGACTAACAAACCGATATAGCACTTTTATAGCCTTCACTGGAGAGCTCGCCTCTTCAGTGGAAGAGAAAGTGATGTTGCCATTGAACACCCAGAGGTTCAGCAACGATTTAGGTTGGATATCTCGGGTGGATTTGGGAATATCTGGGTTTGGTTTCATATGCGTTATCTCCAATGGCATCAAAATAGTCTTTGAACTACCAGTTCGAGCTATCGTCGCCAGCAAAATGGCGCTGACACATTGTGCTAGGCTAGGTCCAGAAGCAGGACCTTCAGGCTCTTGCTGGCCGACGTTGACTTGCCACTTGAACAAAGAGAACGACGATGCGTTACTATCCGAGAAGCCTAGTGGTCTGCTACAGGCACTACATAAGGCCAGGGCCTTCTCCGAGGTTGATTCTGTAGCTACCTCGCTAGAGTTCACACGGGTGGTTTCTTCTCCATTGCCGTCTGGATCTGGTATCGGATTATGGATGACCTACATGCAGTCTGCATTAGCAAACTGCCTACGCACTTTTGCTACAATGCTACGAGGTGGTATGATATGATGTAGTTGGAAATCAATAGCAGCTGAAAAGTATGTCCCTCTTAAGTAATCGTAGGACTTTCAAGTCTTAGAAAGGTCCCGCAGAAAGTAAGAGGCGTCTTCCAAAGTGCAGCAACCAAGCCCATAGCCTGTAGCCAGGGTTCGGAGGCCGCACTTTGACTAGGAAGGTAGAATCAATCTAGGGTATGAGTATCGGTGACCACACCACTGAGTGAGCAGAGACGCTGGTTTGGCCACCTTCTATATACCCATGTCGTTTATTGATCAGAAAGAAAAGAAAAACGTCGGGACTTACAGCAGAATCATTGATATCTGTCTCAGAAAGAAGGAAAGAAGTTAGGTCGACGAACCCAACACTAGGTTGAGCAGAGATACGCGAGTTTGCACCATAGCCCTTTTGAGCCAGATTCTCTTCGTCATGCTGGTGGTCATGAGGCTTGTGACAGTGCCAGAACTCCATCATCTCGGCCCAATTCTCGCTAGGCAGGTCCTTCCAGACTCCCAAGACACCTGGCCTGATGATGACTGCCTTGCACGCCCTACAGTGAATAGAGAGACCGGGCTCTAGATCATTTGCCGACCACGGGACGCTCTGGTCAGCTTCTGCGGCTGACCGACCATTTGCCGTGGTTGTGGGTGCAAGAGGCAACCGCCATGTGAGACTCTTTGCACCTGTGCTGGGTATTGGCAACCGAAGGGGTGACTTCACTTGGCCGGGCAACGGGACCGACTGCTCCACACCATCATGGCTGATTGCAACCCTCCAGCCATCAGATGAGACGACAGCTATGGTGCCAGAAGAGCTTGGCGTTCGTAGACTGCACCCGACAGATACTTGCCGTATGTTTGAAAGCAGCTCTGCGTATATGAGTATTGGAGGAGGAGTGGGAGTAGGAGTAGGCAGAGACTGAGACATTCTGTGAGGGATTGATGAGGTGTTGAATGTGAAGAAGACCAGAGCGTCCCAACTTTGTACTTGTATGTACGAAGTACGCGACGTCGACGTTCACGCGCACTGACCCATAGAAACCCAAGTAGGCAGTTACCTAAGCTGGGGGGTCTCAAGCTGGAACCTGCATAGCACCTCTTAGTTGCATACACTTACACGGGTGCACGGTAAGAGCTGCTTAAAGAAATAACCCCTTTACCCAATTCATTATCTGATATTCCCCAACAAAGTTGCGTCACTGCCTGCCACTTCGCTCGCTTTTGTCCAAGATTTATATATTGAACTACTTACTTATCTAGGGCAGATTCAGAAAAGGAAACCCAAATATATATACCTTAGACATGTGAAGTTCAAAGGGGAAGAAAAGGAAAGAAAAAAAAAAAAAAAGCAAAGCAAGAAGAAAAACCCAAGATGGCTTCGGTCCTCTCCTACATCCCGCTCGTCAACCGGCTGGTCTCCTCTGCCAAACAGCCGGCCACCGTCGACCTCCCGCCGGTCGAGGTGCACCGCGAGGTGGAGACGGCGGCGGACAAGCGGCCGCGGACGCTGAAGCACCTGCTGCGGGCGAACCACGTGAACCACGCGATCGTGTACCACGACCTGCGGTTCGCCAACCACCTGCCGCACGCGCTGTGCTCGGCGTACCTGCTGGGGGCCGACGCCCCCGGGCTGCACGCCGTCTACGACGCCGGCCAGGCCGAGCTCGAGCCCTGGCGGCCCTCGCCCGCCGAGGTCGTCCAGGCCGACTGGCGCGACTTCCTCGGCGACGCCCGCTACCAGCGCGCCTACGTCGACTTCTACGAGGACGCCCTCGCCTACCAGGGCGCCTACGACTGGCGCAAGGTCGTCGACCAGTACATGTTCGCCGGCGAGGAGCCGCTGGTGAACGGCCTGATCGGTGGTCGTAAGTGCCTAGCTCCCCCATCCCCTTTCTATTACTTCCTACCTATCTACCTACCCCCTTAAAGACCTAGGCGAAGACTGTCTGTCTGCCTATGAGAAAGCATTTCATGGCTGACAAACTACCATAGTCGGACATCCTCTCATCCACCTGGGCTACGCCTACGAGATGGACAACAAGGAGCTCGCCATCGAGGCCCTGGGCCTGGCTTCCGTGCAGTACGACTTCCTGCACAAGTACATCGACGACCCGTCGTACCGGCAGCGGTCGTCTTCCACTACTATAGAAGCAGCAGGATCCGCCGCTACTACTAACCCCCATACCTCCGCAACGCCGCTCGAGCTGCTCGGGAAGATGGCCCGCGACAAGCGGCTAAAAAGCCTATTCAAAGAACCAGGGGGGATCGACAACCTCGAGGCCCTATTCGAGCAGCACGAGGACCTGGTGCTCGAGTACTGGAACGCGTGGGCGCCGGAGCAGGCACAGGGGGAGAGTGAAGCGAACGCAAACACAAGCACGAACATGGCCGCGCAGTTCCGGGCCTCGCAGGAGGCGGCCACGGCGCTGCTGGTGGCGACGGTGGCGCCGGGGACGCACGCGTACGACTTCTTCCTGGCGCACGTGCTGACGACGAGCCACGCGGTGCGGATCCTGCTGCCGGTCGTGCCGGCGCGGCACCACCTCGCCCTGCTGCGCCAGTGGTGGCTGCTGGCCGTCGCCGTCTACATCCTCCGCGGCTGCCCGGCCGTCGACCCCGATTACGTCGCGCCCGACGCCGGCGGCAAGTTCTGGGACCACGTCGAGGATCGCGCGCGGAACGGGCCGTATGCCACGGATGCGCATTTCTTGAAAGGTACGTACGTCACGTATGCATGCTTCGCTGTGGAATCCGTTACTTACTTACGCCTGCGAAACACACAGCTGTCCGTGCCATGAGAGAGGCGGCTCGCACGTGGGGGGACCTACACGAACGCTACTTGGCTGCTGCTGTGCGCTTTGTGGATGACTTCAACGGTTGGACATTTTGATCGCTTCAGCTGGTGAAAGAGGGGCTGGGACAGGAGGAGCGGGGACTCAGTCACGAATCGATCAAAACGGGCGAGATTGGCGAACCTGGGTATCGTTACAGCTGGTGTAGCGGGAGCATTTCAAAGTTTGTATTATAGCGTTGTTTAAGCATACTAGGCGGGCATTGGATTAGGTAGGGGATTCTATCTTTTTTCTTACAAGGGAAACTTGATTCACGGTATATAGCATGATCGGCTAGCAATGCATGAGATAGCAAAAACAACCTCCCCTGCTAGGTCTATCTTCAGAGTCGCAGCCATGTGAGCTGTAGATACATTCACTCCGTGTAGAGACAAAAGGGGGGAAAACAACCATCCAGGTAGGTAAGCAGGTACCACAGCTCCTCCAACTCCTTCCGAAAAGCCAAGCTGTAGTGCGCGGGAAAAACCAGGCCGGTCGGGTATCATAAGAGAGGATCAAAACAAGGT